TAATTAAAAAATAACCAGTGATTAATTTTCCTTGGTTAAATGAACACTAAATTTCCAACTTTTTTTCAGCATAATGTATCAAAAGTGGTCATTTTTCAAAGTTATAACATAATTTTTTCATTTAAATAATGACAGCTGTAATGATGTTCGTAGAAGTAATACCATATGAATGGTCAAAATTGTGACAAGAATGTATCAAAATAATACAATGAAATTTATCATTATTATTAAGCTCGCGCGCGAGACTGATAGGTCCTGGGTTCGAATCTCACGGGGGCGGGATCGTGGATGCTCACTGCTGAGGAATCCTATACTACGACGAAATGGTCGTCCAGTGCTTCCAGGTTTTCTATGGTTGTCTAGCTTCAATTGACTCATAATTTCGGCTATTGCTATTTCAATAAAACCAAATATATTCACCTCTTTTAGACTACAATAGGCACCATAATAATTGTGTACAGTATTCAAAAACTTGTAATTATGTAATAATATTATATATTTTTTTCTAAATCAAGCCACAAAACTATACTTTTATATAATAATCTGATTTCCTGTTTTTGTTGTTGTTATTACATACACAATTAAAATTATCATGAAATGTCTCAGTGAGGTTTAAATAAAAAGTGATTTTTCACATTGAAAAAATAGCGTATACTTCAAACGTAGATATAAAACTTACCAAATATACCAATATGTACAACTAGCTATTTCGAGGTATTTTTGAAGAGTTAATATTCAACGATTATTTTTTCGAACAGAAAAAACATAATAAATCATAAAATTGTGAAAGAGAATACCTGAAGATGCTTCATAGTCATATAGTGATCGAGAACACAAGTGGGGACAATCGAATGTATTTGAATACAAGATTACAGAACGTCTTAATAAGAACTGATAACCATACAGTAAATACTTCATTTGTAAAATGTTAATTAGTCGTCTCAGACTTGATTGTTCTTTCGTTTCCATATTAACCATTCTTTGTTCTCATTCTCTTTTCTTCGAACTTCTCAACCTTCTGCCTCCAGGCATTTCACTTTCGATTGATGATACATACTACCTATATCTGTCGAAATCAGTAGCACACACCATAGTCAACAGTATTTATTTTATGCAACGATATGATGAAAATATTTTATTTAGAACAATTTATAGAATAATTGGTTTTATGGAATTGGATTCATCATTACACCACTACGTTGAAAGCTAATACTGTTTATTTCGAACTTGAAAAAAATTTATAAATTAGTGTAATGACCATCCGGTGTAATGATGACGATTGCTTTACTGTCAACATGCCTGAACTGTACCTGCGATGATTTCCAACAACAAATTCATGAGTTCATCTACAATCTAGTCACTATTGGAGGAAGTTTTCTTATGAGGTTGCACTCCCAGCTTTTAACTTAAAGGTCTAATCTACAAGTTAGTGAAGCAACGTTAGGAGATGCAATCCCATGGTAGCCGGAGTCCAATAATTGATTCCTTAGAATCCTGGAGCCTATGCACATCATTGCTTTGGAATCAGGGTTTTCCAACTCTCCTAGGTGACTCCTCCGTATCCAAGAAGCTACATTGGAACACTATAATCTTAAAACAAACATTTTATTTTCAGTAAATTATGCAAAATTAGTAAATCAAATGACTGCACCACATCATAAGTTAAATAAAATGGTCGTAAATTGTCAGCGTAAATTTAAATTGTTGTTTTGAAAATGAACTGAAAATTGAAAGGACTTACAGTTTATGAAAGTTGTTTGAAGGATTATTATTGTTGCTAAGGTTAAAATGAATATTTCATTTTCTTGTCAGTAACTTATAAGTGATACTGTAATAGTTTGATTGAGTGATTACATGGATTAACTCTAATTAAATAATAGTAAATCAAGTTACAGAGTCTCATTTTATAAAAAATAAAAGAGATTAGTTGCTTGACAAAAATGAGTGTCATAATCAAAAGCATCAGCTAATAGTGTAACAAAAGAGTTTTCTTTAAACATTTTAAGAAAAGATAAAGAGTGAAGTATTTCATTTTTTTATTCATTAGTTATTCAGTTCTCACAAATCACTATGAAAAGAATTTTTGTTACAAGTACTTACGGTCATGTACTTTTCGTTCTATCAATGAATTAAATGTTGGATGTTTCTGCATCTTGGTACTGGTGTTCATAGTGAAACTCCAACTCAATACCTACGCTGCTACAATTAGCAGGGTTTTATTTAACAGGCTATTGGGCTGACAAATAACATGTTTGTTGTCAACTACTTTTAATTAGTTATGAACAATTCTTGTGTAAACATGATGACACATGCCAACCGAGTTCCATTGCTATCCTCTGTCCATATTAAAATTAAATGTAGACAATACAAGGATATCCGTTCAGAAAGCTGACTAACCATCAAAGATCATTCTGCTGGGTCCTGGATATCAATAAAAAATAAATCTTAAATTCACAAAATTACTGATCATTTTTTATATTTAGGTCATTCAAGCCCATAGTGTTATGTTAAATAATAATTCATACTATGATGTCAATTATAAATGAAATGCCTTCACTTTTGTATAAAGCCAAACTGTTTATCATAATAATAAAATGAACTGAACAGTAATAATTCGTAAACTTTCATGTGTGAATCAATCGTGCATAAAAATGTTGAATACATATTAATACGTTGATCTAATTTAGTATAATTACATATAATTTGATTTGTACAGTTAGAGTAAATGCGTGATTAAATGGAAAATTTTATTTATCTTTCCTTCAGTTTACTTTGCGGAAAATGAATTGAGTTTGGTGAATCCATCACCTTAAATTGCATATGTTGATTTACATGTTTATTCAAATGCACGTCCACTGGAGAGATAAAACGGCCAGTATCAACTCACTTCCCTGAATATATATTCATGGGAACCTACATCTCTGAAGATAAAACAGTCTTCATAATTCGATAGAATACTAAGGCAATACCTATCTATTACTCATCATCAACCCTAAGAATTCTCTATGTTTCTCGCAGTATAATATGTTTATTACACGCGTCTCAATGTAATGTTTTTACATTTCTTCAAACAATTAACAGAAAGACAAGTATGCCTACAACTATATTGTTTTCGTTTCTTACTAGGAGTCACTGTCACCATACTATATTGTTGGAATTTTAGGAAGGCTTTTGAATATATGTTGGGATTCGCATGCATAATTACTTCTTTAAAATAAGTCTAGAATATTTACTAGTTAAGTTAATGAGTCAATCAAAGTTAGATCATGAAAAACCTGGGATCACTGGACGACTGCTTTGTTCCAGTACAGGACTCCTTAGCAGTGCGCACCCACGATCCCGTTTGCGGATTCGAACCCAGGACCTTCGGTCTCGCACGCGAGCGCCCAATCTCTGGAATAGAAAAACTTATTGAAATAGCTTCGTTTTAAGAAAGAAATTGAAATTCGTACACCGCTCATAGTAGAATGATGTAAAATTTAGATTTTAGTACAGTTATATTAATTAATAAAAGTGATGTTAACAGCAATGTTAACGTGAATTATGAATTATTATCTCATAAAAATCAATAAAAACGGTAGTTCTTGTCATAAAGAGAGGTATATTACATAATTATTAATATAAACAATTTCATGTTAAACCATAACACTTTATAAGTGTTTATCTAAGATTGCATACAATGAAAATGATAATGTTGAGCGATTGAATCGTTATTTACCGGCCTGTATTTTAAAGTGGTGGTCGTGATAAAATTGATCTTTGTATAATCTTAGATTAACTGTTACGTCTAATTACAAATCATTTGGAAGTGGAAATATAGCCCATTATATTTTGCACGCTTATTATGGGATTTGATAGTCATGAGTCCCATTAATCAAAAGAAAACATAGACTTATTCAAAATAGAAAAGTTCTGTAATTTTATTCTATATCTTCAAAGTATACTTAATTGTTTTAAGATATCATCTTGTCAAGTCATTCCACAATTTATTGAACTATAAAGTTTTATTCTAAGATAAATATGTTTTGTTAATTTCTGTAAATAACTAACAACAGTATTGATCAAATAATAGGAATGTACATGAATTTTACTAATTCTATTCAAGTAATTAACTCGCCTTCGTTATCCAACACTTAATAAGTTGAGACACAGTGAAAAAGATTTGTAACTCAGGTAGATGTTTTGATGGAGTTTTGTTTTTTGGTAAAACTGTTTATCTGCTACGTTTTTTTAGTGTTATTTTACTAAAATTTCTTTGATTCAACTGATCTTAGCCTTGCGAGTAACTTCTAAGTCTCAACTTTGACAATACATACATCGTAATCCTTATATTTTTCGAAACTTTTGTTTTAAATATAGAAAAAAAGAATTGCTGATTAGATAATATTTATCAGTATAGGGTGGTGGAGATTATTAAGTTCTTCATTGAGATCTTGGACCGTTGATGTTAGGCCACCATTGAAAACCTGGAAGCACTGGACGGTCGTTTCGTCCTATTGTGGGACTCCTCAATGGATAAAATTTGCTACTTAAAAGAAATCATTAATTATTCTAGTAAAAGAAATGACTTATTTTCTTGTCATCATTATTAGAAAACATTCGTTAAATACATTCACTGTTTTCTATTTTGATTGTATATTTGACAAATTGTTTACATTGAAAACATCTATGGAAAATCTTGACTTTTTTATTTGTTTTATCCAATTGTCAATTATGCGTTATACTAGTGAGATCATAATTTATTGGACGAACCAATCAGATTTAGGATAACAGGTCTTGGATTTTTGTGAAAAATCCACTCACCCATTCGGCCAAATAACGTCTAGGCATTTTAGCTGGTGTGAATTCGTGAGGAAAACTATACATCTAATGAATAATGCTAACCGTCAACTGTGAATCATAATCCTTATTCTTTATAATCCTCATTTAGCCCTAGTAAGTAGATAGACACTCTCAAGGTCACTTTGGCGTCGCTCAAAGGTCGTCCATAAATGATAGTCTCACTGTTATATTTGAGAAATTTATTAGGGAAAATATCTGATTGGTTAGTTTATTCTATTCAAGAAACTATTTAAGTTGTCATTTAATCATAATGATTTAGAAGATCATAAGTGAAATTAATACAATTCAATAGTATAACATAAACTAATCAAAGTATAAAACCTTCCACAATTTGTTCACGATAAATAATTCAACCTAAGCTTATTGTTGTAACAATGATGATAACGATAATGGTGTGTAAATCTATTCATCATGTAATATTATATTTTGGTAAGTGTATAGTTTGATTTGGTTAGTGTTGTAACCCTTTCTTTTTCTAAATACAAACATATTTTATTAGGGGAAACATGGTAAAAGTATAATTTATGGATGAACCATTGAGATTTAAGACAGCAAGTTTGAAATGTTGGCACAAAATCAATTTCGCCATATTACTAAATAGCATTTTGGTATTATAGTTGGTGTTTTAATTCGTGTTAAAAACTTTAACTGTGGTCCTTAAATTCAACTTCTAAACCTCATACCTAATCGTAATTATGTACACTAATGTATAAACCTCTTTCGATCCTAATAATAAGGGAAATTCTCTCAAGTTCTTTTTAATGCCTATCTAAGTTATAAGCTCATCAAAAAATTATATAAAAGAGTGTAGTAGTTCAAGTCTAAGAAGTGATAGGGGCAAAATCTCATTATGTTTTTTAACTAGATTTATTCAGTAATGTAAATATCTACGAAGTTAATAATACTCACTATATTTTGGAAATTGTGGTAAGGCTATTCGAAAACAATAAACATGATTCAAGTAATGTTATAATCTAAACATTAAAAGCCATCGATTATTTCTGAATCTCTACTGAAATTGATCATAACTTTATGTTGAAATTATTCACTCCGCATACTGTCCGAAATAACTCATCTCTACATAATTCACTATGCGATGATAAATCTTCCTTGAAGATCATATACTGAACCCAAAAGCGTTGGCGAAATCGGTAACTGTGATATAGATAAATCTTATTGGAATACTGTTTTTTACTATTTCACCTGTCTTAACTGTAATTGTACTGATAATATTATCTTAATGTTTGGTATTCATCTATTTGCTAGACTAGTGTAACATGGCAACTCTAATCAACATATTTTTTAAGCTAAGCTTTAAAATAATTATATGTAAATGAATGATCTTAGAATTGAAAATTAGTTTAAAAATAGAAGCTGTGATATCAGAACTTCATTATTATTCCTAACCAACACTATGAAACTCTGATAATAAACTTAAAGTATGATAACCCAGTTCTCGGTTATTATTATTATTATGCTAATGTTTTTACATTACTCTATATCAAGCTAAAATAAGTTTTATCATTATAGGGTTGTGGAAATGACTAGGTTTTTGATTGAGATCATGAACCGATTGATATTAGACCACCAGGTTTTCAATGGTGATCTTACATCAATCGGTCATGATCTCAATAAAATAAGTTCCAATATTTCAGATAGATTTTGTAAACTAATTAAAAATTTGTTTTGATTTCATTTCGTTAATGTATTTACTTCTTCAAAAATAATTATAATACTTAAATAGAAAAAAAACAGTAGGTTGATTTTACTAAAGAAGATAAATTTCTCATTATCTATACCAATAATCTATATTTCATTAAATATTGAAATTTATTGTATTTACACTGTTCTATTTCAGTGATAAAGTAAATTTCATTAAGTCCTAGACAATGTTTACTTATTAACTGATGCCTTTTACCCTTCATGAAGGAACACAGACCGCTCAACAGCATTTTCCATCTAACTCTGTCCTCAACAATCCTTTCCAGTTGTTATTTATACTTTTCATGTCTGCTGACCAGAATAAGCAACACTGTTTAAAAAGTGCTAACCAGACAGTGTTTACTCACAACAAAATGACAAATAATTCCTGAAAACCTTTCATCATAAATAATAATAATACATACATGATGTTTGAAACATCATTGGTCACATAGAAAATTTTATTAAATTAATAATCTTAAATTTTACTAATTGAATCAAATAAAATAATTACTTTTTATTATCCTAAACTGGTTAGTTGACTACTAACTATGGTTAGATATCATTCACTAATCTAGTAACCGAATGTGATAATACCATATACTATAAAGTCTGATTAAACAAGGTTTATTTTATCTTTAAAATGAGTAAAATAATAGTTCTTATAGTCTGAATTATTAATAAACAATGTAAATTAAAATGTTACGAAATACTTCAGGAAATGATTTCATTCGAATTTCGTGTCTATTTGTGATAGCACTTCTGGATACTTTTGTCTTCTTTTATCTTAAAGCACTGATATGTCAAACATTTAAGATTAGTAGGTTTAATAGAATGATTTCGTGGATTGATTAATGTTAGAGAAAATAACTTACTATTTTAATTGAGCCATCTTGATGGTAGATTTAATGGTTATTTTTTAGTCCCTGTTTACATTGTTGGTATTCATTAGTTCATCGCTCGAAACCAAGATGAATCAACTTTAATGTTTCTATGTTTTAAGCTCTGATTCAATGGAACAAATGTGGAGAAATTCTGGTAGTTCACTTCTTTTCAAAGTGTTCATTGAGAACTTTGTCAAGAAAAACAATAAACCTTTAACGATTAAATAATGCAGTTCAAAGAATATAACATTTCCAAGACAGTTTTTTTTTGTTTTAATTCGTTTCTTGGCGTACATTATGTACAAAAATAGTACTAAAACTTTGGGATAACTAAAAATTGAATTACAAATAGTAGTAAAATTCATAAAACGCATTTTATGCTATCTAAAACTCGTCAGTTGAGCGTACCTACATCGTAGTGTTGTAATCAACGCTAGGACTTGAAATAGAGCTCGAACAGGCAGAAATGCATGTGCTAGATTTCACTGACATACGCAAATTAAATATCACTCAGGTTGAGCCTTTTTTTTAAAGCGTGATCAGTAACTATCCTTAGAATCAACAACCGAGAAGTCTAAACTCTTATGTAAGAATATTTTAGAAGAATACACACATTAAATGTCAACATTAGTACATTGATAGTTAGTTAATTATCAGCGGTAATTAGGTATCTATTATCGGTTTTCTCTCTATCCCTTAACTAGTTATCGATAGTCAGGTAATAATTACTCCTATATATATTCACTAAGAATGATTACAGAATCCAAGTTACAGACAAGATTAAATTAATACAAAATAAATGCAAATGTTTGAAAAGATGTAATTCACAAACTGTTTTTGAATGAATATCAATCATAAAACTATTCAAAACCATGATCAAAGATAATAATATTTAAACTACGGCACTGTTATCGAAGTATACACTGTAATGGTCACCAATCTTGTAAACATGGAGTTGTCATTCATGAACAGTGCAAGAAAAATGTAGGCTAAGAAACTGACTCAACTACAACATCATAAGCATTTTAGAATGATATATATTTTGTGAAGGATGTCTTAGTTATAAACGAGTATTCTTTTTTACTAATTCCTAAAGGTTCCATCTATTTTCTTAGAAAGAAAATAATCCATTAGTAAAGTCTAATTCTCGTTATGTGATGAAAATGATCAGGCTCTTTTTTTTGTTCTAATTATGTTATTATTCATCGGTAGTATCTCATTAGAAGAGTAGTTCATTATTCATTTACTTTTTACCTTAATAATTAATATATGAGAAATTTAGACATGCCACTTTGTTTTAATGTCTATCACTGTCTAATATTTGTATATACATATATACAATGTTATTTGAAAATATACAAAGTATTGCATATATAGAAAAATGTGCATAGGTTTGACAAAGCCAAGCTCTTCATCATCATTATTATTATTGTTGGGCCTAGTATAACTCATTATAGTAAGATTCATAGAACTAAGTATTACATCATATTGTCACGACTTCATGAGTGCTTGTACAATTACCAAGTGATACATTTCCATTTAGTAATCAAATTAGATTATTCAACACTTATCTAAATTGTTAAAATGATTTCAAGTAACTAAGAGCATTTTAACTACATGTTTTTACTATTCAAAACTAATCTATTATGTCCATTATAAAGATAACAATAACTTCTGTTAGACTTCATTTGATAACTATATTGATACCATATAAAAACCGATTACTGTATAGCTTATAATATAGTGTGAAAAATCTACTAATTAATTCACTGACTAATTAAAATGTTTTTTCTAGAAATAATATATCATTGTTAAGGATACAAATTTATTGGAGTTCTAGTGAGAAGCAGTGACCAGTGGAGTTCAACCGGGTCAGTTGTGAGATATCAGCTCACTGAAGACAATGGTGGACGGTGGCGCGATTTCGTGGGTTAGTTGAAGTTAGACATTACCACTACTGGATGCCGGCTCAGTGGTGTAGTTGGTTAAGCTCCTGGCGCGAGACTGATGTGTCCTGGGTTCGAATGTCATGAGGCGGGATCGTGGATGCGCATTGCTGAGGAGTCGCACAATAGGACAGGACGGCTGTTCAGTGCTTTCAGGTTTTCCACGGTGGTCTAGCTTCAATTGACTCACGATCTCAACTGCTGAAATTACTTCAATCTCCACAAAACCCCTTATGATAGAAATTTATTTGTAGGCATTTTTATAAAAGATTAAGGAGTAACAAAAAAAGTAGTAACGAAACATAGTTGAAGGTGACTTCAGTAAACAAAAGTTGTTGGAAAAGAATAATTAAATCAATAAAATGATAAGATAAAACTGCCTACTGACACTTTTGTGTAATTTTGATATCGATTTAATTAATTCTTTGAAACAATTGTCATATAAATATAAATATATGCGCACTGCTGAAGAGTCTCATAATAGGACGAAATAGACATCCAATGCTTTCAGGTTTTTCATGGTGGTCTAGGTTCAATTAACTAATAATTTTAACTATCAAACTACTATAATATCTACAAAAACCCCTTTCTGATATAAATATGCACTTTTTATTTATGTACAGAGTTGAAATCTTTGTAGTTCTTGAATCAATCAACAACAAAAACAACATTTTTGACTAATACGTTGTATTGTTCAGCTTATGTAATGTATTTCAGAATTATTGTTTTTCTATTCAGTACATTTGAATTAACAATTTAATAGAAATATAATGAATTTCATATATTTGATGGTTAAAAGAGATTAACTCCTAATTAATTTCGAATCTCGCGAGGCGGGATCGTGGATGCGCACTGCTGAAGAGGTTCTACAGTTATAAGTTCATAATTATTGTGATAT